GAGGCACCTCTAGGTGGGCTAGGAGTGCCAACCTTTTGTCTAGTAGTCAAGTGCTTAACCGTTTGTGACACCCAGGGACTTGAACCATGGGACAACTCGTTATTTTCTCACACTCCATTACTGGATTCTTAACAACCCGCCCACCCAGTCCCATGTGGCTCCCTGTCAGCGTTCTTATTTGGAAGCTAACTCAAAGAGAAATGGGAACAGAATAAACCATTTAGCTGCAGTTGACCCAAATTTTGAGGCCTGCACTCTTGTTTCCAAACTTGGCCTGGGTTAGCCAGCATTCTGGGAACCTTATCAAGACTCACTAGCTGGTCCTTTACGCTATAGCCCTGATCAAGGTCAGGTCATTGGAGGAATGGGCTGTGAATGTATTCCCATAGAAAGAGTTACAGGGCTTGGTGTCTGAAGGCCAAGTCTATAGTCTTGGCTTTTCCTAGCTATGTGACTTTAAACAACCCTTTGTACCACACTGGTTTTGAGTTTCCTCATCTGATAATTGGATATGCTAATATCTGACTTTCAGGGCTCTGGAAGGGTAAGATGAATCACTCATTTTTAGGGGAATTTGTAAACAGCTCTTCCAACCCCACATCTTACAGATGAGAAAATTGAGAGGAGAAGAGGAAAAGTAGCTTGCTCAAGTTCAGATAACCAGTTAGTGACCGGGCTTAAACTAGAACTTAAGTCTCCTCTGGCACTGGGGGATAATAAAGCTTTGGCAAATTAAGTCTTATGCACTTGGATAGTGCTGCTGTTGCTAGGAGAGGCAGCACAGCATCGTAAGCTGGGAATGGGACATGTAGAGGAGAGATGGGCTCGAGTCCTATCTGTATTAGGATACCCTCACTTACTCTCCATGAGCCTCAGTTTATTCTTCATAAATTAGCATAATTCTGCCTCCTTTTCCTGGAGGTCACTGGGTGGCACAAACTGTTTGCCCTCAGCTACTAACCGAAAGGTTGGGGTTTCAAAACCACCCAGCGGCGCCGCAGAAAAGGGCCTGGCAGTCTGCTTCTGTAAGATTACCTGTTGCCATTGGGTTGATTGTGACTCGTAGCAACCCTGTAGGACAGAGTAGAACTGCTCCACAGGGTTTCCAAAGAGTGGCTGGTGGATTCGAACTGCCAACCTTTTGGTTAGCAGCCAAGCTCTTAATTGCTGTGCCACCAGGGCCCCTCTGTAAGATTACAGCCAGGAAAACCCTGTGAAGCACAGTTCTACTTGGAAGCACACGGGGTTGCCATGAGTCGGAATCTACTCGGAGCAACTGGTGTTTTGTTTCCCCGTCTCCCTACCCCACATGTTCCACTGCTATTCGTAAGGTTTTCATTGACTATGTCTCACATACTTTGGACATGTTATCAGGAAGGATCAGTCCCTGGAGAAGGACATCATGTTTGGTAAAGTAGAGGGTCAGTGAAAAAGAGGAAGACCTTCAGCGAGATGGACTGACACAGTGGCTGCAACAATGGGCTCAAGCATAACAGTGACTGTGAGGATGGTGCAGGACCAGGCAGTGTTTTGTTCTGTTGTGCATAGGGTCACTGTGGGTCAGAACTGACTTGACGGCACCTAACAACAACAACAGCCCCACACATTGATGGTGAGATGGAAGTTTAGAAACCATCACTTCAGAGTCCCAACCACAATGCTAGCCCATTGAGAGGGATTCAGAGCCTGGAGTCAGGCTGTTAACGTGATCTCATGAATAACTTAAAACTGCTCTAATTTTTAGTTTCCCCTTTAAAAAATGGCAATAGTAATAGCTCCCTCATAAGGCTGTGGTCAGAATTAAAAGAAAAACATCTACGTATGCTGTTGGTTAAGTAGCAAGAGCTAGATAGACTTAGCTCTGATTGTTAATAACAGTAAATGGCAGGTATTGTTACCACATGAGATATGTACGTGAGAGCTCTTTGCAAATTGTAAAGCATGTTACAAATGTCAGTTGGTATGCTATTTCAGAGAGCCCCCAGGCTGTGATTAATATTAACATCGTTCCAAAGATAGGAAGATATATTGGGATTCTTCATACTCATCCCTGGATTTGAATTCCGTTTATTTGCAGAGGTTCCAGGATTTTTTTAATCCTTGACTTCATCCAACTTCTCTGAGCACAATTTACCCCCTGTTAGCCTGTCTCCCCTCTCCAGGAGAACTGGCCCACTTTTCACCTCTGAATGGCCCTGTGCTTTGGAGTTCCTTGCCCCCTGCTGAGTGCTAAGGACCAGGTTCAGAACTTTAGCGCTTGATGTTCAGCCCCCAGGTCCCAGAGCCCAGGAGTGAATGGAGAAGCCAGGTGCTGGGCTGGCATTTGAAAGCAGAGAAATCCTGGCTGGGAGGAAGGTTTGGTCTGCTCGCCTTCTTTCATAGGTGCTTTGGGATGTCCCCTGGCGTGGGGAGGAGTGGGAGGGAACTTCCCTTTGTGTTCCTCTGAAGGTTGGGGTCTGACTCATTTAAAGTCCAGGAGAGTTTGATGCAGAGGGAGGGGGCAGTGTATGTCCCTCCTCCTGACCACGTGAGCATAATGGGCAGAGGAGCCTCGCCACTGGCCAGCGATTTATCAGCAGATGAAAGGGTGCCTGTGGTCTGGAGAATGACTCTGAGTTGAGTGCCAGCCTGGCCTTTATGCTCTGGTCTGGCTGCGTGACTCAAATGGGCAGGACATAGAATTGGTGATGATGCTAAGGCCATGGATTCAGCCCCTTGGTGGGCTTCCAAGCCCCTCGAGGCCACATTCTGCCTTTGACTAAGGAGACTCTAATAATATGATCACTCATGTTTATTGCCTGCTGGTCTGGGCCAGATATGCTGCGCTAGCTCCTTTATATGCATTATCTCACAACCACCCTGCGAGGTAGGGACTGCAGACATAGAAGGTCAGAGAGGCCTTGTGGGTGTGGGAGCCTGGCTGTAAACCCAGGCCTGGCTGGTGCCAAAATGCATGAATTTAATTATTTGGCTGTATTCATGGGAGTTATAGACCTGGGAGTGAGTGGAGCCAGAGAATATAGACAAATGGGTTAGCTGTCTGCTGGGTCACATCCCTGCCTGCTGGGGACAGAATACTATAAGCAAGCATGGTCCTGGTGATGGATCACTTGTACTTTTCCATTGGCAAAGGCAGGAGCATTTATGATTGGTCCTGCTTAGGCTTAGGGTATTAAGGGAAAAGTGGAAATGTCCATGTCTGCAACTATATAGTTTATATTCTTCTTAACACCTTAGCAGAACCTGGCTCCCCCAGAAGGTTTTACTTTCTCTCTGTCTGACCAGCTTATTTCTCTTGACTTATTTGGGAGGAAGCTTGTAGGAATATGTTTCTTGTTATCACAGCTTGCTTTGCCTGGGACAGTCCTGGCTTGCGGTGTTGGCCTGGTTTTGCATTTTAGCACCCTCACAGTGTCCTGGTTGGCTTCATAAATGCTACGGTTGCCCTACTTATGACACACTCAGTAGCACTTCAAACTTTTATTTCAAGTCTCTCTTTACAGTTTATAATTACATCTTTTAATTATTGACTGGTTCTCACAAGACCACCAGCTCTGTAAATGCTGGGACTGTGTCTGTATGTACTCAGTGGTGGATCTCTGGGGCCTAGCCCAGTACCTGGCACATAGTGGTCTTCAGCAGTGGTCTATTGTGATGGAGGAAGCCAGCCTGGTTGAGCAGACCAGATGGCCCGGAGGCAATGGCAATGACTAGAGAGCAACATCAAATTCATGGACGTAGGTGCCAAATTAAGTATGATCTAGGTGTGGAGGGTTTCAGGGGAGGAAGATCATCATGAGCTGAGGAATAGATGAGGGTGTATTAGCATCCTAGGGTTTCTGTAACAAATTACCACAAACCAAAATCAAACAAACAAAAAAAACTGCCTCATAGGGTTTCCGAGGAGTGGCTAGTGGATTTGAACTGCCAACCTTTTGGTTAGCAGCCAGAGCACTTAACCACAGTGCCACCAGGGCTCCTACCACCAACCAGGTAGCCGAAAACAACAGAAACTTGTTCTCTCACAGTTCTGGAGGCCAGAAGTCCAAAATCAAGGTGGTGACAGGGCCAGGTTCCTTCTGAAGGCTCTAGGAAAGGATCCTTCCATCCCTCTTCCTAGCGTCTGGTGGCTCTCAGCAATCCTTGGTGTCCCTGGGCTTGTGGCAGCATCACTTCAGTCTGCCTCTGTCTTCACATAGCCTTCTTTGTGTGAGTCTTTCTGTGTCCTCTCCTCTTATAAGGAACCAGCCATTAGAATTAGGGTCCACCCTAATCCAGTATGACCTCATCTTAACTTATTTACATCTGCAAAGACCCTATTTCCAAATAAGTTCACATTCTGCTGTTCTGAGTGGACGTGAATTTTGAGGGGACATTATTCAGTCCACTACAGGGGTTCCCAGAGGTGACTCTGAGGAGCGGGGAGGCAGGATCTTTCAGAAGCCTGAGTGTCCTATGATCAACCTTGTGTCATGGAAACAGCTCTGAACAAGAATCTGAAAAACCTGGGTTCTCCATCTTGCAGTGAAAACTTCAGCAGATCCCTTTGCTCCTGAGTCTCAGGTCCTTCATCTGTTCAATGGCGTCTGCCCTATCCCACCTCACAGGAATTTTATAATAATCACAATGATAAATGGAAAGCTCTTTGCAGATTGTAAAGTGCTAAAGGTTAAGGCAGATGCATAATGAACTACAAATCATCTGAGGAGCCCTGGTGGAGCAGTGGTTAAGTGCTCAGCTGCTAACCAAAAGGTTGGCGGTTCGAACCCACCAGCCCCTCGGGAGAAAGATGTGGCAGTCTGCTTCTGTAAAGATTACAGTCTTGGAAACCCTATGGGGCAGTTCTGCTCTGTCCTGTAGGGTCGCTATGAGTTGGCATTAACTCGAGGGTCATGGGTTTTGGTTTTTTTGGTATGAATCGTCTGTGAGTTGCACGAGAGATCAACATTGCCCTGCTTGTCGTTGCTTTTCTGCCTGACCACCTCCTTTCTCCTTGCTAGGATCATTGCTTTTACCATGGGACAGTGAGGAAGGCGGAAGAGTCCAGTGTCACACTCAGCACCTGCCAGGGAATTAGGTAAGAGGCCCTGAAGGTTCATGCGGGTGCCTGGCACTTTCTCCAAGAAATAACATTTTCAGGACAAGCAGGACTGGCCCTGGGCAAGGGCCTTGGGAAGGAGATTGTTGATAGTGTGGGCAAGCCGGCTCAGAGAAGGGCCAAGCGTGGGAGGGAGCAGGGGAATCATAGATAACCCACAGATTCACTGGTATTGAGCTTTTAATTTTTTGAGGAACTTGAACTTGAGTTTGAGCACTCTCACTTCTGTTTCTCTCTTCTCTGGTAGTACTTGTAGGCAGTGAAGAAGGAAATGAGCCTTGAGTAATAGGAGAACATGGGAAGAGAAAGGAGAGACAAGTATATCTACTCAAGAGTTTCAGCTAGATAGCGTTTTGGGAAGAGGGTGACTGTTCATTTCTTGATCAGACTACCTGGGTTTGAGGACTGGCTTTGTAGTTGACCAGTTAGGTGACCTTGGGCCTCTATGGTCTCATTTGCAAAATGTGGATAAAATAGTATACACCCACTGGTGTGAGGGTAGGAGCCTTGGTGGCAAAGTGGTTAAGCACTCGGCTACTAACCGAAAGGTCAGCAGTTCAAACCCACCAGCTGCTCCGTGGGAGAAGGATGTGGCACTCGGCTTCTGTAAAGATTACAGCCTTGGAAAAACCCTATGGGGCAGTTCTACTCTGTCCTATAGGGTCACTGTGAGTCAGAATCAACTAGATGGCAATGGAGTTGTGTGAGGATTAAATGCGTTAATAGAGATAGAACGTTTAGCACTGTGCTGGCCCAGAGCCAGCCCACGGTAACCTCCCAGACCCTTGCTTCTCTAGGTTTGTTCTGCACATGGACAGCATCACCATCACCTGGGAGCTTGTTCAATATGCAGAATCTCAGCTCCCTCCCAGACCCACTGAATCAGAATCTGCATTTTACCAAGATCCCCAGGTGGTTCGTGGGCACATTAAGATTTATACCTGAGAATGCATGTTCCTTGAGAACGTAAATTATATCTCAAATATTTGTTTATCTCCATCAGCTTACCCCACTGCCTTGCATATATAGGATCTCTACATGTATTTTGAAGTAATAAACTTTCTTTCTTTAGAACCCTACCACTTCCTCCTCCATTTTTTTTTGAAAAACCAAAAACCAGTTGTCGTCAAATCAGTTCCAATTCATGACAATCCTATGTGTGTCAGAGTAGAACTGTGTTTTCAATGGCTGATTTTTCAGATGTAGATCACCAGGCGTTTCTTCCAAGACTCCTCTGGGTGAACTTGAACCACCAACTTTTCAGTTAGTAGCCAAGCTCTTAACCGTTTATGTCACCCAGGATTAGATCCAGTATGCTGGAAAGCTGGCTTTCTGGCAGGGGGGAAGAAAAGCTTGATTTGTATCATCTGCCAATATGCTGGTAGAAATACTCCCACCATAACGACTTTCAAGCTGCCAATGTGACATCGCTGAAGGTGGAATTGCGAAATTATGTGCAAGATTGGCTCTGTTTCTGGTAGGAGGTGACTCCACTGCATAACATTTATCAATGGATGATAAATCTTCTCTTTATCAATGGATTGATTCATTCAATAATTGTTTCCTTCATGCAACAAATTAATATTGGGTGTCTACTGTACGTCAATGCCTTGCACTAGGTGGAAGGAAGACAGACACTGAGAAGTCATTGAGTTATCAGTTTTCTCATCTGTGAAATGGGTGCCAATGATAGACATGGTAGAGATCATTGTTCAAGTATTTTGTAAACACTACAGTACTGTACAAACATAAGGGATTATTATCAATTTACAGCAGTGAAGCCCTGCTAAGACTTACCCAGGCTCACAAACAGAGTGAAGGCCTCTCATGCTGCAGATCCCACGTGTCTGTTTATAAATTGGGCCACATCTTCTCTGTAAGGCTGTGTGGTGAGTTGGCCGGAGGGAATTAGGCAGGAAACAAGCTTTGGCTGGGAAGTGATAACAGAATGGCCCCAAATCCCCTGCTCAAGTGACCTGATTGAGCCAAGCCAACTGGTCATGCAGTGGTGTTTGCAGTCCCCGCCACCACCACCTGCAGTCTGCAAGTAAACAAAGTCCTTCCCAAGAAGGAGGAATGGGAACATGTAGGTGTGACCTGCTTCTCTCTGACTCTTCCTCTGTCCCCTTGGTCTGGAGCAGTGGAGACTTGGCTCAGCCTCTTGTAAATCACTCCAGCAGCTGGGTTGACCTGGGAAACCAGGAAGCCGTCCATATGTTTCTGTTTTGCATGCTTCACTCTGGTGGGGTCCCCTGCTTACTTTCCCAGCCTTCTCACTGCTCACCTTAAGAAGCCAAGGCTGTCTGCGTGCCGGACTGATTTAAGAGCTGAAGACTCATACCAGATGGCTCTGTGCTGGCCCTAGAGAACAAGCAGCTGTAGTAGCAGCGGTGTTCAAACCCACGTACGCCCAGGTCGTCTCCCAAGCCTCATAAATCGATACTGCAGTGGAAAATCCCCACAGAAGTTGTTCCTCTCTCCTAGAAGCATGTTCCTTGTTTTTGGAGAAAGTAGATACAGTTCATACCAAGTGGGACCTTCAGGTTAATGATACCAATACAGAGGAATTCAACTGAGTTTCTAGATGGTTGCTGGGCCCCCTCTTCTCTCCAAAGCAGTTATTTGAGCTAGTTTAATTGAAGACATAATACATGCCCATACTAAACATAAGTTCAAATAGTACAGAAGAGAGTACAATGAAAAATAAGTCTTTCTCATTCAGATTTCTAAATTCTTCCCTCCCCAGAGGCAGCCACTGTTACTAATTTCTTGTGTATCTTTCTAGAAACATTCTTTGCAAAAAAGAACATAGATATGCTATATAGTGGTTTTTAATCTTATTCAGGCTACAGACCGCTTTGAGAATTGGGTAGAAGCTGTGCACACTTACAAACTATACCAATAAAAACATGTGGCATACCATTTCATTGAGGATGCTGGGTGTCTATAACCACCCCCCCAAGTTTGCTTCACATTAAGGACCCCTCGTCTGAATGTTTACACAACTTCATACGTGCACAAATATTTTGCCAACTAACATGGAGTCACCATGAGTCAGAATCGACTCAACAGCAACTAATAACAAAAACAACACACTGAATAAATGTAAGGAGCAGTTATTATTTGACAAGCCTGGACATTAGGAAACCTGGGATCTGCCCCCAGCTCTGGCAAGTTCCTTTTTCTCTGGACCTTGGTTTCTTTCATCTGTAAAACAAAGGTAGACCAGACCTTCAAAATTACCCTTTAGGGTGAGAGCTTCTGGGTTGCAGAGAGAGTGGCAGAGTCTCCTCAGGAAGCAGGGCCTGAGGCAGAAGGAAGTGACTCACCTACATGCAACTAGTCCACACCTGTCTGCCCATTTGCCAAGGAGTGCAATGGCCTGTTCTCCTTTGGATGCTTTCTTTTCCTTCTGCACAACAAATAATAAATGCTACCTCTGTGTCAGGCACTGTGGTGATTAAGCCTTTAGAGGAAAGTACAGTCAAGTGGTTAAAAGCTTAGATTCTGGAGTCAGACAAAACCTGGTTTAAAACCTGACAGTTTACTTCACTTCCCTAGACTCTGTTTTCTCACCAGTAAAATGGGTACACCAGTAGTAACATCACTGGTGGATTTAAATTGAGTGATAAGTACAAGCTCCTTGGGAGCAGGGACTTTGCTTTGATCATACTGTATCCCCAGTGCCTATGACAGTTACTGGTACACAGTAGGTTCCCAATAAATATGTGTTAAATGGCTACTGAATATAAACCTTCGCACCCTACTTGAGTATAGTACATGGTCAGTATTGTTGTTGGTTATTAGGTCCCATGGAGTTGATTTTCAACTCATAGTGACCCCGTGTGACAGAGTAGAATTGCCCCATAGGGCTTTCTAGGCTGTGATCTTTATGGGAGCAGATTGCCAGGTCTTTCCCTCATGGAGCTGCTGGGTGGATTTCAATCACCAACCTTTCAGTCAGCAGCTGAGCGCTTAAATGTTGTGCCACCAGAGCTCCTCACATGGTCACTCCTATTATTTTTCTTTATTTTTTATTGTTGTAGTTTAAATGAAGTTTACATTTCAAGTTAGTCTCCCATACAAAAACTTATACACACATTGTTATGTGACCCTAACTGCTCTCCCCTTACTGTGACAACACACTCTTCTTTTCCACCCCTGATTCCCCATGTCCATTCAACCAGCTCCTAACCCTCTCTGCCTTCCCATCTCACTTCCGGACAGAAGCTGCCCATTTAGTCTTTTGTATCTACTTGAGCTAAGAGGCATACTCCTCATGAGTGTCACTTTATGTCTCACCGTCCAGTCCAATCCCTGTCTGAAGAGCTAGCTTCGGAAATTGTTTTAGTTCTGGACTGATAGAGAATCTGGGGGCCATGCCTTCCAGGGTTCCTCCAGTCTCAGTCAGACCATTAAGTCTGGTCTTCTTACTGAAATTTGAGTTCTGCACCCCATCTTTTTCCTGCTCCATCAAGGACTCTCTGTTGTGTTCCCTGTCAGGGCGGTCATTGGTGGTAGCTGGGCACCATCTACTTCTTCTGGTCTCAGGCTGATGAAGTCTCTGGTTTATGTGGCCCTTTCTGTCTCTTGGGCTACTGCTTTCCTTATGTCTTTGGTGTTCTTCATTCTCCGTTACTCCAGGTTGTTGGGACCAATTGATGCATCTTAGATGGCTGCTTGCAAGCTTTTAAGACCCCAGACGCCACTCACCAAAGTAGGATGCAGAACATTTTCTTAATAAGCTTTGTTATGCCAGTTGACCTAGATGTCCCCTGAAAGCATGGTGCCCAGACCCCTACCCCTGCTACTCTGTCCCTCAAAGTGTTTGATTGTATTCAGGAAACTTCTTGGCTTTGGTTTAGTCCAGTTGTGCTGACTTCCCCTGTAGTATGTGCTGTCCTTCCCTTCACCTAAGATAATACTTGTCTATTGTCTAGTTACTACTATTATTTTTAAATGTTACTTTGATTATTAGTAAGCATTGCCTATTAATTTAGTCAATTATCATAGCAACTCTGTGAGATGGGCAGTATTATCTGTGCTTTACAGGTGAGACAATAAATTTAAGTAACTTACCACACAGCAGAACCAGATCTGAGTCCAGGTGTCTCCCTCTCACTCGTGAAGCCCATACTCCTCCTGTGCTTGGCCACTCCATCCTGAAGGTCCCACGTCACCTGTATGCCTTCTTTTCTCTCTTCTGTGCTTCCTTTGAATTGACTGTCACCTCTTTTAACGTGGACACAGATTGGGGGAAAGGAAGGAGGGTAACAGGATGATTGCCTCCTTACGGCAGCTCTGATATAGGGAGGTTGGATGTGTTCCCTTGGGTTTAGCTCTGAACTGGCAAATTCCCAAGAAGCAGTTGAAACAGTTCTTGCTTGTTTCCTTGAAGGATGCGAAGGCATTTGGGTGAGTCCTTCAGTCACTCAGGGGTTAAACGCGCATCACCTACTGCCTGCCTGGCCTGCCCAGGTTCTTCTGTGCAGTTTGATTTGTGTCAAGCTCTTAATGATGAGGAATAGGATGGAGAGTAGCATGTGAGGTCCTGGGCCCCATCTTGTTACCCCTGGCTGAGTTCTGCCTCTGCCAAGGCTAATATTTAGCAAATTAGATCAACTGAGGCTCCTAGAAGGATAAATGGATAAATGACTGGTGGGTGCTCAGTGGAGGGAAAGGCAGCTAGGAGGACTGGGTGGTGATGATGGGGGAGGGAGGCTGGAGAGGGCCTGGAGTCTCAGAAATTCCCCCACCATCAAAGCTACGGTTCAGGGTAAAGTGCTGGGGTTTGCACCAGCGTCTCTGACACCCCCAAGCAGTGTGTGAGGATTGCGTCTGCTCCACGGAGCGAATTACAAGGGGCCTCGGGGAGGGGAGGGGTGGCTACAGAATCCTAGAGCTGGAAGGACCTTCCAAGTCCTTCTGCGCCTGTGCTCCTCAAACTGTAATCTGCCAACTCCCTGACACAGAATTGCGGGGGCCTCGTGAAGAGGCGTAGTGGTTAAGTGCTACGGCTGCTAACCAAAAGGTCAGCAGTTGGAATCCACCAGGAACTCCTTGGAAACTCTATGGGGCAGTTCTACTTTGTCCTATAGGGTCGCTATGAGTCAGAATCGACTCAACAGCAACGGGTTTGGTTTGGTTTTTTGAAGAGGCAGGCTCTTGCTGCCACGCATGGGCTCCACGCCACAGTTCCTTATTGTGGCCATGCAGTAGAATTTCGTGGAACTTGTTAACAGTGCAGACACAGAGTCTCCTAAGTGAGACCCCAGGATCTCTCTTTTTAATACACTCTGTAGATATTCTAATAGCTATCTCTGGGAGCCGTCATCCTAGAGATCACTGATCCACAGGTTTGGGACTAACTGATTGTATTGGTTTCCTCAGGGTGTCGTAACAAAATACCACCAATTGAGTGGGTTGTAAGAACAGAGATTTATTGTCACACAGTTCTGAAGGCTGGGAGTTGGAGATCAGGGTGTCGGCCATGTTGATACTTTCTGAGGTTTTGAGGGAGAATTGGTTCCATCCCTCTCCCCTAGCTTCTGGTACCTGCAGGCAGCTGCAGCATCACGTGGTGTCCTTCCCCTGCCTCCCTGTCTCTGTGTATCTTCTCTTAAGGACACCATTCACATTGGATTAACACCCACCCTACTCCAGTATAACCTCGTGTTAACGTAACTGATAACATCTTCAAAGACTGTATTTCCATACAGGTTCACACTCACAAGTACAGGGGCTAGGACTTCAACATATCTTTTTGGGGTACACAATTCACGCATAGCACTGATGGAGGTAGATAGCGTAGAACTTAAGGGCATGCGGTCCAGAGTCTGGTGGACTTTAAATCTTTGGCCCCAGATTACCTGTGGGATCTTGTTATTAAGGAGCCTGAGTGGTGCAAGTGGTTTGCGATCGGCTAGTAACCTAAAGGTTGGTGGTTTGAACCCATCCAGTGGCTCTGTGGAAGAAAGACCTGGTGATCTGCTTCCATAAAGGTTACAGCCAAGAAAATTCTATAGAGCAGTTCTACTCTGTAATGCAGGGCATCATGAGTTGGAGCCGACTCGATGGCAGACAACAACAACATGATTTTTATTACTCACCGTGCACCAAATTTTGGCTTGGTCTTTGTCCTATTTGGCCCAAAGGTTGTTTAAGTGATTTTCGATCAACTACACCTTGTGGCTCCACACTGGAATTTTCACCAACTTCACTATGGAACTTTCCACTCACTGGGTGTTATCTCCACAGCCTCAGCCTGATGCACACAAAACCACTGGCTGGTTTGTGATCAAGCCCTCTATGTTTCCAACATCAGCAGCCATCAAGGGAAACTGAAATGATGGGAGGGGACTTGGTCAGCTGAGAGGAGAAGATAGCTTGGAACAGGATGCTCGGAGCAACTCTCCCCTCTGCCCTTTTCTGTCTGGACTAGGGAGTGGATGTGACGTTTTGTCCCATTTGTGGGACATGAGTCTTTGTCCCACTCCCACCCTAGCTGTTCAGGAGCACATTGGGCGTCTGCCATGAGGCTGGGCAGGGATTGCTGCGTTAGCCTGGGCGAGGCAGCCAGGAAGTGGGCAGGCTCCTGGCACCAAAATGAGATTAGCCAGGGATGGAACCCGGAAATGACTGCTGCTGATCAGAGCCTGGCGCTGTCTTTCCTGCGAGCAGCACAGGCCCTTCCCACAGAGCAAAACTTGGGTGGGGATCCCAAGGGGCTAGGGTCGGGGTGAAAGCCAAGCCGACCTAAGAGAGGTTCTGCCAATTGAGCAGGGCAAAGACTCTGAATTGGAGATGCCTTAGCTTTTCAGTTTCCTGGATGGATGAGAGCCTGAGGTTTTGGAGGACAGGAAATGCTGCTAGGGCCTCTAGGATTTATTATTGGGCTTCCTCCTCCCTTGGAGCCCTTGATCCATTTTCTTGCTGTAGTATTCATCTTAGTGTACCAGGGATGGCAAATACCTGCCACATGGTCCTCAACTCACCCTTCCATTGATTATGATACTGATAAATACTAAATCATGGCACTCTTTCTGCTGAGTCCAGATAAGTCTCAGAATCCTTGTCTCCAGTCCATCAGTGGTGTGGGTGATGAGACCTTGCCCTTGGAGAAAGGCCTAGTGATCTGTTTCCATAAAGATTACAGCCAAGAGAACACTATGGAGCAATTCTACTCTGTAACACATGGGGTCTGCAAGAGTCAGAATCAACTTGAGGCATTTTTTTTTTTTTTTTTTTGGTATACATTATGATGATTTATCCCCATGTTTAGACTCTAAGTTCTTGGAGAGCAGACCCTTTGTCTGTCTTGTTCATTATTCCATCCTCAACAACTAGCACAATGCCTAGCAAACAGCAGGAGCTCAGTAAATATTTGTGGAATGAATGACTGTCCTCCACTGGCTGTGAATTACTTGAGGACAGAATCAGGGCTCAGTGAGTGAATGAATAAAATGAATGACAAACGTCTTTATTCTGAGTCCAACACTAGTATCTTAACCAATGAAAAAATGCGGTTGCCCACGCTTGGTTGTAGATGTCACTTCAGCAAAGAGCTGCCTTGCTGACATGGTGAAGTTGGGACTGGCAGCAATGGCGTCAGTCTAGCTTTGGCTTCCAGGCTCAAGGTCTTTACACTAATCATTCCAAGAGTCCTGCTAGTAAATTATCATTTCCATTTGGCAGATGAGGAAATTGAGGCTCAGAGAGATTTAAGAGGTTTGTTAAAGAACACGTGACGGACAGTTCAATGCTGGAGCTAAGACTAGAATCTGGGTCTCTTCACCCCAGGCCAAGGTTCTTTCTCTGGCTGCTGTACTGCCTTTTTCTGAGTCTATAAAGTTTTGACCGGTGACTTGTCAAATGCCATGCTTGTATTTAGGAAGTTTTTTGGAACACTCATCCTCCTGTACTTTTTAAGTATTAACTGTCCCAGTCCAGCTGTTTTAGAACCTTTTGAGCTTCTGCAGTCCAGGGGTTTTTAACCTGGAGTGTAGCGATGAGCTTACCAAAAAAAAAAAAAAAAAAAAAAATCAGTTGCCCATAGTGTCAGAGTAGAACTATGGTCCATAGGGTTTCTAATGGCTGATTTTTCCAAGGCACATCTGGGTGGATTTGAACCGCCAGTCTTTCAGTTAGCAGCCAGTGTGTTAACGTTTGCACCACCCAGGGACTCCTGTGATGAGATCCGTTGTTGTGTGCCATCGAGTTGATTCCGACTCATAGAGACCCCGTGTAACAGAGTAGAACTACCCTCTAGGGTTTTCTAGGCAGTAATCACCAGGTCTTTCTTCAACAGAGCTGCTGAGTGGGTTTGAAATGTCAACCTCTCAGTTAGCAGCCGAGTGCTTAACCGCGCTGCCACCAGGGCCCCTCTGAAGTTGTACATCACATTTCATATATGTGTGTATTTCTCTGAAGAGGAAGTCTATAGCTTGCGTCAGATTCCCACAAAGGGGTACATGACTCCTTAAGAAGGTTAAGAACCAATAATTGAATCCAACTGTGTCATTTTACATATGGGGGAACTGAGACCTATGGAAGGGACTTCTCCAGGGCCATGATCTTTCACCAGGGATGTTCTGTTTCTCTGTCAACAGAGGACTGATTATGGTGAACAGGAACCTCAGCTACATCATCGAGCCCCTCCGTGACAGCGAGGACCAACACCTTATTTACAGATCTGAACATCTCAAGCTGCCCCCAGGGAACTGTGGTTTCCAGCACTCTATGCCCACCTCCAGAGACTGGGCCCTTCAGTTTACAAACCAGACCAAGAAGCGACCACGCAGGGTTAGTTTGTAGGCTCTCAGTGCAGGAGTCAACCTGGGAATAGGCTTGTCCCCTCTGAGGACCTATGCTTTGGAGCCTGGAGATTTCTGAAATGAAATGAAATGGTTAAGAAGGAGGAAATAGCTTTTTTCTTTTATTTTAAATTATTGCTGAGTGTGAGATACACTAGTTGATATAATAACTGCTTTTTAGGGAAACACTACCACATTTAAAATACGCTGCAGTGCTGATTTCAGAAAGTTTAACCTGTGAAAAAAATGTGTAATTCCTGTTTTGGAATAGCCACTTAGCCATATGCACAAACATGATGTATTTATTTATGCTTAAAATAGAGGTGTGTGGTTTAAATGTTCTTTGGGAACTTGATTGTCAGCATGTTCCCTCAAAGTATGTTGGCCTCTGGTCTGCTGGCATTAGCCAGCTCAGCTCATTGTTTTTTGAGAACAAAGGACTGGATCCAGTGTCCCAGAGCAGCCTCCAGCGCTAATCAAGATGGCGGGTGGAAGGTGTAGAGACGGTGGTGGTGACTGCAGCCAGGACTGCCACTGGTGTTCTGGTACAAAATGAGTAAGGAGGTCAACTGCTTACTGACGGGCTCCATTTCCTAGCAGTTTTTTAAAATGAGGCCAAGTCCACCATTTCTACAGTTCTGATCTCTTATATCTTTTTCTTAGATGAAAAGGGAAGATTTACACTCCATGAAGTATGTGGAACTTTACCTTGTGGCTGATTATGCAGAGGTAAGGGGTAGGCAATGGGCTTTAGCAGAAAAATTGCTCTCTTGACAGCTTCCATTCCAGGTTTTGAACTACTTTGGGGAAATACTGACACATTCATCTTTCTCTGGTTCCATCATACAATTTTGACCTGAAATCTGATCAAGTGGTCTTTTTGCCATTTTAAACATAGTTGGGGAAAAAAACAAACAAGGAAAAATCTCTTCTAGCTCAATACATCAGTCAGATAGAGAATCAGGGCAATTATCTGGATTAATATTTCTTAGACTGAGTCTGAAGACCTTTAGGCTTGGTGGCTTAGTCTTAGGAGTCTGTGAATTCTCTATAGAAATTTTTAAATCTTGGGTTTTCTTTACAAAGATAATTGAATCTGATTGAATCCAATTTTCTTGCCCATGCGTAGGTCCACGTTTATAGTCGTATCGGTGCCAAATGAGGACCTAAAGCAGTAGTTCCCAAATGTGGTCCCCAGACCCAGCAGCATCAACAGCACCTGGAAACTTGTGACAAATGCAAATTCTGGGCTCTACCCTAGACCAACTGAATCCTACACTGTACGGGTGGGGTCCAACAATTCACGTTTTAATAAGCCCTCTGAGTGGTCTTATCAAAGTCAAGTTTGAGAACTACTGACCTGAAGGACTAGCAAGTTTAACTTTTAATTCCATATTCCTGAAATTAGACAGGTTCTTGAGGGTCCTTGGGTTCTCAGATTTGATGAACACTCATCTTGCTCATTCATTTACTTCACTTATTCATCAACGATTTCTTGGTTTTCTGTTATGTGCCAAGCACCGTGTCTAGCACCAGGAGGATACAGCTCTGACCTAGACAGACTCGGTCTGGCATCACAGAGTTTACAGTGACAGCCCAATAAACTGTAGTTCCCAGTGTGATAATCACTAAGATGGAAAAGTACAGCGTAGTAGAGTGCATGCATTCCCAATGTGGTTTTGGGCATTGGAGAAAGCTAATCTGAGGCAGAGATGCTTAGGTTGACACCTGAAGAATGGGTTCAGGCACCAGCCCCTGTATTTGCCACATTTTACCTCCAGTTCTCACTGTATACAGCCACATAACTAAGCACATCTTCTGTCACCCGATGTCATTATGAGCTGAGCACTCTTGGTACCGTAACACCGTGCATGCTCACCTGGGGCTCCTATTAGGATACAACTCATCACAAGACATATCTGTCTTGTATCCATCCAAATGGTGTAGTTACTACCTACCCAAAGGCCTCATTATAGGTGGCCCTACCTAGTCTGGAAGGAGCCACGGTGGCACAATGGTTAAGTGCTCAGCTGCTAATCAAATGTTGACTGTTGGAACCCCCCCAGCGGCTCTGCAGGAGGAAAGACCTAGTGATCTGCTTCTGTGAAGATCACAGCCTAGGAAACCCTATGAGACAGTTCTACTCTGTCCGATTGCATTGCTGTAAGTCGATAATGGACTGTACAGCACCTAACAACAACCACCTAGTCTGGAATCCCCAGGGACAGATTCTGGAGACCGAGAGGGGTAGTCAAAGAGCACTTGTGTTCACGTCACGAGACCTGCCTTCCATGCTAGTGGCAGGAGGACGTGGCTCTTGAGCTGTGTTACAGGATAGGGAGGAGTTAACTGGGCAGAGAAGTGGAGGTGAAGGGCATTCCAGGCTGAGGGAACATTGTGTTCTGCTTTGAGAAGAGTTTAGCTTTTTAATTGATGTCAGTATTGGTTTTTCCAGCAGCCTCGGGCTTTTTCCTTTTTTTCTTCCCCCTATTTCTTTTGTTTTTCTCTCCAAAGATTGCTGTGTGTATAGGATAGGGGAGCCATGCAGAGAGCAAAATCCAAAGCTGGTTTGCAAGCAAAGGCTCCACAGTCATGGGAGAAGGTCCCAAATCCGTGTCTCCAGCCCGTAGCCCTGCCTGACGTGACTGCCTCTAGTGGAAAGGTGGCTGGAAGAAAGCTGAGCCCCTCTGGCTCTAGGACGTTTTTCAGTTTCAGCTTTGCATTGAAGATTATCTAACACAGTGGTCTGTAGCCAGGTTTTTTCCAGACACCAAATCCTTTGTTCCGATGAAAGCTTCTGGGAGCCCCAATATTCCAGCATAGAGAAACACAGCTGCTGTAGTTTAAAGGCGAAGCCTTCCACCCCTTGGACCCTGGACTCTGCCACATCAGCCCCAGTGGAATCTAGGTGCAGGGTTTTAAAGCCCACTGGGTGCGTGTTCCCCGTAGCTGGACAAGGAGGGGCTGGGTCAGGGATTTGGCATTTTAGCTTTCCTAACCTCCAGGGTCACGGCAAAGCCCCGGGAGGAAAAGTGTCTGCTCAAGATGCTTCCAGCACTGTGGTGCCACCTAGAGCCCTGTGGCTCCTTGCCTCCTCTTCCTGTTGCAGAGACCAGCACCTTCAGTACCCGCCGCACAGACATTTCCAACACGGGTCCCACAAGGGGATGTGCTCATTTATCAGGTCCTGGGCACTCCTCCGCCAAAGGCCGTGAGTGACTCATGTGAGGGGGTGGGTGGGGGTCGTAAGAGGCCAGGCTGAGCTCACAGGCTCATGAATGCCCCACACAACCTCTCCCACACTCTCTCATTCTCTGAAGGCATAAATGCATGCCTCACAGGGAATTAATCTGAGAGGATGGGAACACAGGGAAGGGAAGGCTGCCATATCTGTGATTTACAACCTGGTGCTGAGGCAGGGCGGGCTCTGACCTCAGAGCACAGAGTAGACACAGAGAAGGGAAGCGAGACACAGTGTTGCTGCCTAGAGAGAGAGCGGTCAGAGGTAAAAAAAAAAGGATCATTCAGAGGGTAAAGAGAGCAAGAAGGAATGTTGTAGGAGGGGCTAGGTTGTAGCACGCAAAGGAGTTTCACAAGATGCACAGAACATGAGGTACTTGGGAAAGGACGAGTGATGCACCATGTTTTCCTTCCTGTGTCCCCTAGAAAGTAGAGGGTGCAGGTATTCGCTACTTTAGACTGGGGATTGGCAAACTATGGCTCATGGCCAGATCCAGCCCACAACCTGTTTTAGTAAATAAAGTTTTACAAGAACACAGCCATGCCTGTTGGTTTATTTATTGCCCATGGTAGGGTTGAGGAGTTGTGACAGAGACAATATGGGCTGCAAAGTCTAGCATACTCCTTTTCAGGCCCTTTACACAAAAAGTTTGCCCACTCCTGCTTTAGACAATTCTGGACAACACAAGACATTCCTTAAACCGTGGTGGGCATTATTGGGCAATTGTTTGAAGATAGGGTTAATATATTTTAAAGATGTTGAAATCTGACCTTGATGTTCTAATAAATATTTACTAAATGAATAGAAATATTGTAACACTTTCTGTGCTATGAGGTCAATTTAGAAATGGAATGACCCTATAATGAGAAACTCCAGGATTAATGTCTTGGAAGGATCCAAGTCGCAGGGCTTTACACTGAATTTAACTCTGTAGAAAGCAACAGTGAAAGTGAGATTCCCTTCAAACAACGGACAGTGTTCCAAGGAAGCCCAGGAAAGTCCAAAAGCAGGGAAAGAATGAGAAAAAGTGGATTTCTTCCCTGTGTCAGGGCTGGGACACAGCCCGTCTAAACAAATAGCCTAGGGTGTTTTATTTGGCTGTTCTTTTTGTTTCTCGCTTGGATATTCTTGTAGGATGGGGTGGAGGAAGGAAGTGAAGGGTTTGAATTGAAGTAACCTGTGTAGCGCGTACCCAATGTAAATAGTTATACAGATTCTATATAATAATCGCAGCCTGCAGGACATGCCATCATTTACAAATTTAAATTGCAGTGGTAACAAGTTTTACCTTTCCACTATGAAGCTTTACTTCATCATTGTAGCTGGAAGACATCACGCTTTCTGAGGCCACATTGACTACTGTGAGGCATTCATACTGAAATGTCCTTCTCCTGCTACCCATGGTAGACATTTCTAATCGAGCACAGCATTCCTTCCTGCTTAGCCCAGTCTTAGAATTCTTCTCACTGTAGAAGCATAGGCAGGCACTGCCAGTTGATCTGAGTGGCATGTATGATGAAGCCTATCTATCATCCCTGCAGAGGTCTTTGCCAGCACCCGTTGTGTGTCATTCACGAGGCCTCCCACTGTGGCTATTTCTGTGCATGTTTTCTCAGCCGGATTTCTCAGCTCATTTCAATTGTATACTCTTTAATTATAGGGCCCATCATTGTTATTTCTGGTCCTCTCTCTGTTTTCACTGGGCTAGGACCAGGATCTTGACACTTATTTGCATCCTACCTAGCACCAAGCATAATGCTTTGCATGTAACGGGGGTTCAGCAACTATTTGACCAGTGTTGATTGACCTGGATAGTCAGGGAAGTCTTGTGAGATCTGTGTAATGGTGACTTCATGTTGGGGTGGTGACCAAGACAAAGACTAGGTGGGTCCCTCCTCTAAGCCCTGGAAGGAGTTTGTAAGAGGCCTTGTACATTGGAGGACAAGAGAACAAGATTTACTTCAATGGCTAGAGAAAGACAATTCAATTCATTACACAATTAATGCATGCTTACTGTGTGTTCAGCACTGGGTTAGGAGCTGGGAAAACTGAGATGTAGAAGACCCAGGCCTTGTCCTTCAGAATCTGACATTGGGGTTGTGGACATAGTTGTATGTAAATAACTGATCGTAGAAGACAAAAAAAAAAAAAAGAACTAATTCAGAGATACGTAATGGGGTACAGGAAGGGTACTGGAAGAAGTTCTGGGGCCTCACCTTGTTTTGCTTGTCCCATTTAGTTTCAGAAGAATCGACGAGACCAGGAAGCCACCAAACACAAGCTCATGGAGATCGCCAATTATGTTGATAAGGTGAGACCAGGTGTGTACTTTGTGGGAAAGGTGCCAGCCCCTCAGAGGGGCTGTGGGACAGGAGATCACATGGCACTTGAGCTACCTTCTGCCAGATTGGTCACTCCAGCCAATTTCTGAAAGAGAATGAATGATGACAGAGCCTCAGGACGGTCTTGACAAAGCCCTGAACTACGTGACTATAGGCAAGTAACTCATCTTCTTTGGGCTGCAGTTTTGTTTTTGTTTCTTATATCCTATCAAATAGAGGAGTTGGCTTAAACCAGTGGCTTGCAATTTCTTTTCCCCCCGTGGAATCCTTTTTAAAAATGAAATCTATGCCAATATCTAATATAGAGATGAAGATCCAGAGTGTTGTTCTTCTGACCCCTCCCCCTCAACCTCTGCAGTGGCTCCTGAGGAAGCTAGGACACAGAGGAGCCCAATTTAAAACCCATAATCTTTAAAAAATTTTTAAGGTTCCTTCCAGGGTTAAAGTCCAGGAATTCTCTGGTTTCGGAGGGAATTGAAGTAGGTCAGGATGTGGAGAAATGGGTTGTTTTGGGCCAGTCTGTACAGTCTTGATTTGTAAAACAGTTCTAAAATTATTTCTTCCCTCTAGGAAGCTGTGTGGATGGTTAACTTTCCTAGGCCAGGCCCTTTGCCAACATGCTCTTAGGAAATATCCAAGTACTTCAATTTTACTAGAACAGGCTGGTTTGAGACTTGAAAATATTTTGTATATGTTGTAGTGCAAAATGCAGAAGAATATGTAATCTAGAATGAAAATAGTCTCTTGACACTGGCATTGTATTGTTTAAAATAGTGAGTTTTAACATTGTTGGGGTAGTAGGTCTCTTTGAGAATTTGATAAAATTATTGTACAATTTCAGAGCACTCATAGAGCTTCTTGGGGCCCTGGTGGTTAAGAGATCAGCTACTAACCAAAAGATAAACAGTTAGAATCCGCCAGCCACCCCTCAGAAACCCTATGGGGTAGTTCTACTCTGTCGTGTAGGGTTGCTAAGAGTTGGAATGGACTCGATGGCAATGGGTTTTTTTTTTTCCGTTATGCCCCACGTTTTTGTTCTGCCTTAGGCAGCTCTGGAAACATAGCTTAGGGTCAGGTGAAAGTCAAACACTGGCATTTCCTGGAAGAAGGGACTCCAGGGACACAGTCCCTTGGGGACTTTATTCTAGCTCCTCTGTCTAGCTCGCAACTCATCAGTAACACATTTGAATGATCCTACAACCCAAACACGCTCAACATCTGGAAAACAAGAAAGCTTGTTTCCCTGGGGACTATACAGGAGACAGATCCTGCTACCAGCCAAGTGACATCTATTGTTGTGGAGACCCGACAGGTGTGGGACTTGGCTGGGTCTCCCCTTTGTGTACTCTCCAGATGGCTTGAGTGATAGAATCAAGGATGCTGATGAAATGAGGAGGGAGAAGAGAGGCATCAGCAAACCCCAGGCCTTACTTGAAGCCACAGACCTTGCTGGGTTGACCACTCTGGGAAGCAGTCTTGGTTTTCTCTCCAGCAGCTAGTTTCTCCCATATGGGGTGAGGGAAGTCATACCTACTTCTCTGAGAGTTGCTGACCCAGCAACTTGAACTGCACTGTTGTTGAACCAAATACTGGAATAAACTACATTAATTTACTGAATCGTGAACTCAATCCAAATGTTTTCCCTTAACTGTGAAAAAGCCAAGTTTACCTCCTAAAACAGCTTCCTAGTGAAGCAAGTTCAAGTTGAAATCTGAATCCTGTATTTTCTATAATGATTGACCTGAAATGAAACAGGAACATAAAAATGGCCTTTGAAATGAACGGTTTATAGTCTCCCTAAGTCTGGAGCCCATCTCAGACCCAACTTCTCAGAGCAAGTTGATTTTGGCTAGATGTATAAATGTTCCAGCACTTAAGCTGTGTAGGGCCACGAGTGGGCTTTGAGGTCAGTTAATCTGGACCTTAATCCTGGCTTTACTAACTTCATGCTGAAACTTTGGGCAAATTACTGAGCTTCTCTAAGCCTCAGTGCCTAGTACACTGCAAGTGCTTGATAAACGTTGGTGCTGTCATTATTGTTTTTAGCTGGGGCAATATGTGCCAGCTTTGAATTAAGATGGTATCTCCTGCTCATGTGACCTATGTTTCCATGATAAGCATCTCAGAGTAGACTAATCAAAGAATCCCTTGTGCCCATGCCTTCCTGTGGCTTAGCTTTAAAGAAAATCCTCTTCCTGTTTATATGCACATAAGATTAAAAGCATCATGTCATAAACGTTAGATACAGCTCTAATCTTAAGGAGCTAGATAGTTAGATCTTGTTTATAGAATTTCACAATCTCTGGGTTGGAAAGAACCCTGATGATTATCTAGGACCCTTGTCGGTCTGATGCGTGAAACTTACTTATGCTATTCTTGACAATAACTGAACACCTCCTTTGATGCAGAAGGAAAGTTTTGGGAGTAAGCATATCCATCCATTTGTATACTATTTATACCCATTTACTTCCTAAATGAATGAGAGACATCTTACAATAAAATGTCCATATATAATTTGATATATTGATACAATGGAATACTATTCAGCAATGAAAAGGAACGAAATACTGATCTCAAAAATCTGATGCTAAGTGAAAGAAGCCAGACACAAAAGAGTACATATTGTATGATTCCATTTATAGGAACTGTCCAGAAAAGGCAAATCTATAGAGAAAGAAAGTAGATTAGTGGTTGCCTAGGTCTAGGGGCTAGGAATGACTGTAAAAAGTTATGAAGGATCTTACAGATGTGATGAAAATATTCTAAAACTGGATATGGTAATGGTTTCATAATAAATTAGATTGTACACTAAAAAAGGGAGATTTCCTGGTATGTAAATTGTACCTCAAGAAACTGTTTAAAAATTTGTATACAAGAGTACCATGTAGACACATATAAAAAAGATAAGACTGTGTAAAGGATTGGGAGAGAGAATTGTCACAGACAAGCCAGTATTTATTACAGAGCACAGCAAAGCTTAGCTCTGAGCTTTCTGACGACCAGCTTTGTGTGGAAGCGTTTTTACTATTTCAAAATGAAGCTTGTCTTCCCTGTCTGATTTACTTATTGATTGAAGCCCTTCTTCAGGACCAGGCAGAACAATGCTAATCCTTTTTCCCACATGATAGCTCTTTACATATTTGAAAACAACATTTATGTCCTAACCTAGTCTTCTCTGAACTGAATAACCCCAGTTCTGCCACCAGGATGCTGTGAGAATGTTGTATATCTTTCCCAGGACTCATTTCCCTCATCTTTCCATTCTGAAAAATGTGATTAATAACACCTATTCCTTCCTCCCTGTATTAGTTCCCAGGCTGCCTTTATAAAGTACCACAAATTGGGTGGCTTAAAACAACAGAAATTTATTGTCTCACAGTTTTGGAGGCTAGAAGCCCAAAGTTAGGGATGGATTTGAGGGGGAATCTGTTCTATGCCTCTCTCCTAGCTTCTGGTGATGGCTGGCAATACCTTGTGTTTCCTTGATTTCTAGCTCACTCCAATCCCTGCCTTTGTCTTCACACGGCCATTTTCCTTCCCTCTCTTTGTCTCTCCTATTTTATTTTATTTTACTTCTATAAATATTTTGAAACCCTGGTGGCGTAGTGGTTAAGAGCTCGACTGCTAGCCAAAAGGTTGAAAGTTCGAATCTACCAGCCTCTCCTTGGAAACCCTCTAGGCAGTTCTACTCTGTCCTTTAGGGTCACTATGAGTCAGAATCAACTCAATTGTTTCTGGTGAAAGTTTGCACAGCAAATTAGGCTCTTATTTAATAATTTCTATACATATTGTTCAGCGACATTGGTTACATTTTCTACATTGTGGCAACATTCTCATTATTTCTGTTCTGTTGCTCTATTTCCATTACTCTAGCTTCCCTGCCTCCCCTGACCTTCTCATCTTTGCTTTAGGGTAAATGTTGCACATTTCTTCTCATATAGATGATTTTTTTTTTTTTAAGGAGCACAGTACTCACAGGTGGTATTGTTTATTTTGTGAAGCAATCTGTTATTCAGCTGAAAGGTGACCTCCGGGAGTGGTTTCCGTTCAAAGTTTAAAAGTTATCTTAGGGTGATAGTCTCGGTTCCCCTAGTCTCTACCAGTCCAGTAAATCTAGCCTTTTTTTTTTTCAAGAATATGAGTTTTGTTCTATAATTTTCTCCCATTCTATTCGGGACCATCTATTTTGTCCGCGGTCAGAGCGGTTGGTAGTGGTAGCCGGGCTCTCTTCTTTTATAGGGACACCACTCATACCGGATTAGGACTCACTTTACTCCGGTATGACCTCATGGTAATCTAACTGATAACATCTTCAAAGGCCCCATTTCCAAACAAGGTTAGATTCACAGATACCAGGGGTTAGGACTTCAGTGTATCTTTTGGGGGAGAGGGACACTATTCAACCCAAAACACTCCCCTTGGAGGCATGTGGAGAAGAGAAATCTGGTATCTGTTCCCTGAGCTCTTAGGCTAGGAAGAAGCTTATAAATCCTAGGTGATGCTGACAGATAATGTGGCTTTTCTGTGTGTGCTTTCAGTTCTACCGATCCTTGAACATCCGGATTGCCCTCGTGGGCTTGGAAGTGTGGACTCATGGGAATATGTGTGAAGTTTCGGAGAATCCGTATTCTACCCTCTGGTCATTTCTTAGCTGGAGGCGCAAGCTACTCTCCCAGAAGAACCATGACAACGCACAGTTAATCACGTAAATAGCCTCTTCCCCTACGTGTTGGGTTGGTGTCTGATGCAAAGCTAATGCACTAGCCTCTGCCAGCGGCACAGATGCTCAGCATTTGCCTTTCTCTTTCCCTCGTGGTCAGGATTGGTTGTACAAGGCAATCCTGACACTCTGGTCCAGATACTCCAGTATTTCTCAGACCTGTGCTCTGTGCCCAGCACACCCTGGAAAATACTAAAAAGCCTGAGAGGCATAACAATACCAAAAAGTGTTAACAACCTAGATGAGCAAATTAGCCTTACTCACATTCAACAGAGGATCTGAAACCATTGAGTATATATTTGGGAACTGGGCCGCTTTGAAACAGACTTTCTGAGGGGCTCGTCTTGATCTCTGTGGCTCTGTTCAATTACATGAGCCAATATCTCAAGGCAGGTACAGGAGACAGGGTTCCTTGAATTGTCCTTCACCTGTTTCCAGGAGCTCAGGGCTGAGTATCTCAGACTCAAAGTGGCAGATCATGCAGGAACTCTGTGTTTGACGGGAGGGAGACAGTGGGGCGGGGGGCGGGGGGAGGGTGCAGGTTGTATTGGGTGTTCTTCAGTCCCTGGGAAAAAGAACAGACACTGACAAAGGTCGTGGTGGCACATGATAGTCCCCTAAGGGTGATTATTTGATATTTATTAGTACTGGGTTCCAAAGGTATTTCGAGGCAGTTTCAACAAAAGACATATATATAATAAAACCGTTTTTCTTCTGTTCCCCAAATGTAGCTCTGAGTGCTCAGAGCTTGCCTTTGTTTACCCTTTAAAAGGAACTGAGGAAAGTAACTGTACCAGAAACCTGGACAGTGAGTAGTTACCTCACGTGGTACATTGAACGAGGAAGAGTCTTTGGGTACCAGAACATTTGGCCTGAGCTCACACAAGCATGGCACCCTGCTTTGGGCAAGGCCTTGAATCTAGGTTTCCAGTTAGGACTTGCTCAATGCCATAAAATAGGTTTATAAAATAATTAGTACGGCTTCATATAGATTTGTATATGTTTTCCATATGCCTTTGCAGATTGTTTCTCTGAAGGTAATCTGCCTTGAATTCAGCGGGCATCTATTAACCACCATTGTGTATCAGATTGTGTGCTAGGTCCTGGTGACCCCAGAGCAAGTAAAATACAGTCTCAGCTCTCAGAGATTTCATGGCCTAGATAAGGAGACAAACATGGAAATATAAAAGTACCACATAATGAATTTCCACATGGATTCTTTAAATAAATTACATGTTTGTGGCATGCATGAAAACGCAAGTATTTTATTTATTCCTTCTTCCCTACCCTGGATGCATACAGCTGAGAGAGGGATGTATTAAGCTGGGGGAAAAGTTGCTGGCTCTTGGCAGATTAGGTTCATAATTGCAAAACAGAAGCAAAAATGGCTCATTCTTGCACCCAGCTGCACTTTGTGAGGTCCCTGATGGGACACATCTGTTTCCTTGGCCTCAGTGTGATGTGGGGATGAGGCATCAGCCCCCACAGCTGCTGCCCCAGTCCCACCCCCACTGCACACACATACACCACAGAGCCAGGGATGCTGGCATGGGACCCTGGCAGCTGGCAGAAGTGGGCATGATTCACTTCAGCATCAGAGCTTATGCCACCTCCTCCCCCCTCCCTCTGACCTTTTCCTGTGCAGCAGGAATGGGATGCAGGTTTGCAAGCCCTGCCCTTTTCCTTCCAGGGAATGGGGCTATGGGCACATTGTGGGAAAAAGTGGCCTTTTCCCTCCCTTTCTGCTTCTCTGGAGCAGTGGGGGAAGAGGTGAGAGGAAGTGAGAGGTGTTGACCTGGACGTTGTCCAGTTGGCCTGAATACCACGGCTTCTCCCCTTGGGAATGATCTGGAATGTCAGTAGGGCTAAGGAGCACCATGATGGCCACTCGTTCCTGGGCACCCGGGAACAGCCCTTTCAGCCGCCACCCAAGTCATCTCTCTTATTTCTCCTTTTCTCCTGCAGGGGTATGTCCTTCCATGGCACCACCATCGGCCTGGCCCCCCTCATGGCCATGTGTTCCGTGTACCAATCTGGAGGTGTGAACATGGTGAGTCTCAGCCAGCGTGCTGGCATTGCAGAAGGTGATAAAATGCCCTCACACGACAGAAGGTCATCTTTCATAAAATAATTTAATCTTTATTAGTGCAGGAAAAAAAGCTTGGACATGAAGCAGGGCAATTTCTTGAAATGAAACCATTAAGTTCTAAGAGATGGAGGTCTCCAGGAGTGAAGTTTCATTTCTTGTAGTTTATTTTTGATTTTCAAGCTCAGAAGAACCCTGAAGCTATTAAATTAATACATCACTCAGTCTCTCATATGTTCCAAACCAGGGGCAGGGAAATAGTAAGATAATAGAGATAAAAGCATTTTTATTCCAGGTCTTGCATCCTTATGTGTGTCCTTATGACACAAGAGCCTGTCTCAAAGTCATGGTTAGGAAATTACTGTCTTCTTTTGAAATTCTCTCTGACTTTTTGGGGATGCTTTGAAGATTCATTTCTAACCTGTGAATTAGCTACTAAGGAGGCCTGCTGTCCATCCGTATGTCTGTCCCTCCATCCACCTAGTACTTACTAACAAGTGTAGCATAGAGGATAAAACCACAGGCTCTAGAGTCAGAATCAGTTGGGTTCAAATAGCAAATATGACTTTGGGAAAGTTAATGCATTTCCTCCATTGTAAAATAGAAATAAGAATTTTACAGTTTATAATCTTAGAGTTAGAATGAGAATTATAATGTAAGAAACATACCTGCATGTTTAGTAAATCTATTTTTGCTGCTTCTCTTCTATTTTTTGGTTTCTTGAGCTTTTGCTTCTTACGATTAAGCACCAGGCACTGTGCTAGGTGCTGTCCCTGGTGTGTGTCTATCTCACAGGCGTCTCAGAAAGCCCTGGGCCAGAAACACTTTATGTTTGACTAACGTGGTATTTCCCATGTCAGTTCCTTTACATTCTGGAGAGATCTATGTTAAGAGGAAGAATGACAAAATCCTCCTCTTTCATTTATTCAGAAAGTGTTTATTGGTTAGGGAATTTATCAATGGGTCAGACATAGTCTCTAACCTTGAGGAACTCAGGAAGCACGGACTTTTAAGCATTTAACTTCCTAATTAACGGCATCAGTGGATTTAGACTTCCTGTTGACAGCACGTGTGGATTGCCTGTTTGCTCAGGGATGATAGAGTCAGTGGAGAGCAGCACAGCTTGGCTAAGCAAAAGGTCAGGATGTGGATGGGAGGCAGAGCTATCACTTTGACCTGAACTCTCTCCCTGAGCAGGACCACTCCGAGAATGCCATTGGTGTGGCTGCCACCATGGCCCACGAGATGGGCCACAACTTTGGCATGAGCCATGATTCTGCGGATTGCTGCTCAGCCAGCGCAGCTGATGGTGGGTGTATCATGGCTGCGGCCACCGGGTAAGTCAAATAGAAGCTGTCAGGAAGGGTGGGGACGGGGAGGAGAGCAGGACGAGTGTGGCCAGTGTGACTCAAGGGTTTCTCCCAGCTGGCCCCAAGGAGCCTCCCTGATACTTCTGTGGGGGCCTTGGTGAGAAATGTGGTTGTTATAATAAAGAAACTGGAAGAGGACCAAGGAGGCAGGTGTGTGGAAGGAGCGCTAGGTTTCTAGCAGGAGGTTTGGTGCTGCTGGGACCCTAAGATATACTTCATTTCTCTCTTTGGCTGTAAAATTAACCTGACTACATGTATCTTATTTACTTCATGAGTATTTGCTGAGGACTCCCCCTTTTTTTTTAATTTTTTGATGAAAATATATATAACAAAACATACACCTGTTCAACATTTTCTACCTGTACAGTTCAGTGACATTGGTTACATTCTTCTCATTGTGTCACCCTTCTTGCTATCTCTACCCATACTGTTTCACCATCATTAACTTAGACTCTGTGTCCCCTGAACTTCTCCTGTGAGTTTTAGAGTTACTGTTGTCAGTTTGATCTCATATACCCTCATAGATGGCAGGATTGACAGCTGTTTTCATTGCTTGCTGTCCAGACTCCTAACTAATTCCAACCTTTAAGAGAGCACAGTGCTCAAGTAAACATTATTTACTAGTTGAGCTAAACTGTGATTTAGTTTCAAGATGAATTCATGGAATAATTTCGGTTCAAGGCTGAAAGATTATCTCAGGGCAATAGATTCAGGGGTTACCCCAGTCTCAATGGGTCCAATAAGTCTGGTTTCTATAATAATTTGAAATTCTGTTCTACATTTTTCCTCTTTTTGGTCAAGATCCATCTGTTGGGCCAGATGAAGACCCATTTTGATAACAGAACAGCCACAACCTTTGATTTCTCCATCCCAAGGGAGTGTGATAAGTGCTGTTAGATCCCAGCCTTGGTTGAAAGCTCTAATGCAGCCTCCAGAACAAAGAGAAGGAAGGAGAGCATCCACACACACCCCAGGCTGCATTTAGCATGAGGAACAAGGATAAGACAGATGCATCTCCCTTAGGGTCATGAGGGATTTTTTAAAACCACAGTCCTTGAAGGAAAATTCTGGAGTTTCTTTCAAGGACTTATCTCTTAGTGTTTGGACTCAGAGAGCACAGAGCATTGGGTTTTTCAGGACCTGAGCCACTTTGGGGGAGGCATCCCAGTGGGAGCTTGTGTTTTCCCCACCCCAAACCTTTAGAGCCTGCTTATGGTTTTCAGAGAATGGCATTTTCTTGTCTCCAAGAGGAAATACAGCTTTCTTGGAAATCCAGTGTTCAGTGTTTTTTCATCATTTCTTGGCTGTGACATACAACGGATGATGTTCACATGCAGGATACAACTCCATGGGTCATTCCCAGACCCCTGTCAGCTCACAGTTACTCTGAGTGCACCCTTTCCATCTCAATCAAAAAAAGCATATCTGAAGACAAATGTTTAAAGAGTTACCTTAATTACTATTCCAATTTGTTTTTAAATTGTTCACAAATTTAGCAGTTTAACAATTATTAGTAACAAATTACTTGTCATATACCTGAAATCCTCCAGTGTTTAACTTCTAATTCATTAAAAAAATGGGATCGTTTTGTAGACCAAAATGGCGATACTGTCCCTCAATCACAGGAAGGTATGACTTTTGATTTTGTTTTCCCAATAGTGGGACCCAAAGCCTTTCACACTCTTTTTGTGATAGGGTGTGCATTTGTGAGATGGCTGGTTGGCTGAGTTTAGAGTCTCCTCTGCAACTTTAGAACAGAGGTCAGGTCAGTAGCCCATGAAGAAATTAAGCCCATGACTTTGACCATTTGGCCTGGTTCTCTAGCCCAAGAAAACTTCCATCTAATATCAGCTTCAGGAAAGACTTGAGTTGGCTGGTATTTTATTCATTAGTTCTAAGGCTCCAGAGACCTATTGAAACACACTCATAACCCCTTCCTTATTGTAGTCCTTTCATGCAAAGGGCAGAAATTGCTGCTTCTGATTCTCAAATACCTCCTCCATGCTGAGTAAGGAAAAAAAAAAGCATCGTGGGATGGTTAATATTTCATTATTAAGGGTGAAAGAATTCTAAGTTAATATATTGGTGAATGTTCTAAAGGGGGGGGGGAATTTATGTGCATGGACTATGGGGTTGGAGTCCAGGTGGAATCACCCACTACGTAGCAGGATTGACAGCTGTTTTGATTGCTTGCTACCCAGACTCCCAACTAATTTCAACCTTGTTCTCTGCCAGGCACCCCTTTCCCAGAGTGTTCAATGGATGCAACAGGAAGGAGCTGGACAGGTATCTGCAGTCAGGTGGTGGGATGTGTCTCTCCAACATGCCAGACACCAGGACGCTGTATGGAGGCCGGAGGTGTGGGAACGGATACCTGGAAGACGGGGAAGAGTGTGACTGTGGGGAGGAGGAGGTAAGGTGTTGTGGTGGTGGTAGTAGGAGGGGAGAATGTATCCTGGTTTCAAAGCTCAAGGTCAAAAGAGAAAGCAACAGTTTGGCAGTTCCTCAAAAAGTTAAGCATAGAACTACAATATGACTCATCGGTTCCACTCTTAGGTATACCCAAGGGACCTGAAAGTAGTAACTCGAACAGGCACATGTACACCAATGTTCACTGCAGCACCTATTCACAATAGCCAAAAGAGGGAAACAATCTACCTGCCCATCCGTGGATGAATGAATAAACGAACTGTGGTACATACACACAAGGGAATACTGCTCAGCCACGAAGAGAAATGAAGTCCTGATCCATGCTACAACATGGCTGAAGCTTGAAAACGTTATACTCAGTGAAATAAGTCAGTCACAAAAGGACAAATATTGTATGATCCCACTAAAGTTCATTAGTGGTTACCAGGGGTGGGAGGGAGGGGGAAATGGGGAGCCGTTGGTTAGGAAGTAGTGAGTGTTTGTTTATGTTGGCGGGAAGTTTGGCAACGATTATGGGTGACGGTTGCACAATACGTTTAATGTACTTGGTATTGCTAAATTGTACACCCCCAAAATGTTGAATTGGCAAATGTTGTGTTATATACATTTTTATAATTAAAAAAAACCAGATAAAAACTTAAAATAAAACTGATAAAATGTTTACCAAAAAAAAAAAAAGAGAGAGAGAGCAATTGGAAATTTCTGAATCACAGACATTTCCTACTCATGGCTATCAAAGACCCCATCACGATAGGATGTGGCGAGTAAACCTTAGACATGGACCACTTCTGCAGCCTCTCCCAGTTTGGGGTTGGCACTGTTTGTATCCACAGCCAGAGTGGAATTCTCTTTGTGAGTGTCTGAGTCTCACCAGGAACCACGCTCATCTGGCGTGTTGGTTGCCTCTTCCCGAGTGGAGCAACAAATGGCCTCCTTGGCCCTCTAGCTGCACTGAATTTATTCTAGAGGCCACACGGCTGGATATATGGATTCAAACCTGGGCCTTATGAGGATGCTTAAAATAACAAGCTTGGGCCGCTTAGCCTGGAGAATAGATGATTGAAAGAGGATGTAGGAAGTGCTGTCAGATCTCAGAAGGGCTGTTGTGAGGAAGAAGGAGCAGAATTCGTTTATGTATAATACATTTCTTCCTTCTGATCTTCACAGTGATCACAGTGATCACAGCATAGCACAGTCATTTTGAACAGTTGCATATTTTTTTGAAAAAAAGCAGAACTGGCTAGTTTTGTTACTGTATTTTATGGACAAAAACATACATTTTAACATGCGGTAACAGTTTGGGGAAGAATACAAGAGTAACCGTTAACTGTGGGGTACGATCGAAAGTCTATATGTGTGGAAAAGTCTATTTGATTTAATAACTCGTTAATAACTAGTTTTATAATTCTAGTTTGATTTTTTTTTTAAACCCCATCATGTAACTTTCATAATAAAAAAGAATTAGTTAAAGACACCACCATTCCACCACCACGGGTCCAGAGAGATCAGCCCCACCCCCTTCAGAAAGGAGGGAGCTGTACTAGCATGGCGGGACCTGCAGGGTTGGGGAGCAGCCCGAAAGTGGGCTCAGCAAGTCGGCTTATATTTGGAGCAGCTGTTTATTCAACAAGTACAGTAAAACCTGCAAAAGTCAGAACCTGTGTAAGGCGGAAACCTGTCAGAGAAGGAAAACACAAACGTTTTCCACTAAAAGGAGAGATAGAAAAGTAAGACTGCACCCTGCCAAAGGTGGAAAACTTGCAAGACCCAGGAGAACAAAGCAGTCCTGTCAAGTTCTGGCTCTCTCAGGCTTCAGTGTATTTACCGAGAGCAGTGTACTACCTTGGGTGCTAGGGATAGGATGGGGAGCAAAAAGGTGCCTATCCTCGTGGAGTTCACAGTCTAATGGGGAAACACGCATGACCAAATAATTGCAAAAGCTTATAAAAATACTATCGTAAGTGCTGGGAGGGCACATTACACGGTGCTTTCAACATATCTATCATCCCTTTGATGGTACGAACGGTTAACTTGCTTGGCTGATAACCAAAAGACTGGAGGTTTGAGTCCACCCAGAGGTGCCTCAGAAGAAAGACCTGGCAATCTGTTTCCCTAAAATCAGCCATTGAAAACCCTACAGAGTGTACTTCTACTGTGACACACATGAGGTCGCCACGAGCTGGAATCAACTGTACAGCAACTATTTTTTTTTAGCCCTAAGTGCTAAAGGTATAAAGTGATTTTTTTTTTTGGCAGAGTTCCTAGGAGCTTGGGCTCCAGAGGTGTTTTGGGGTAAGGGGGTGGGGAAATGCAGGAGGTGGATGAAGACCTCACCCCTCCCAGCCTTCCTGTCTCCCTGCCTGGCTGCCCCAGAGGCCCTGCTCACACCCCACTCCCGCTGCCTCCCACAGGAATGTAATAACCCCTGCTGCAATGCTTCCAATTGTACCCTGAGGGAAGGGGCGGAGTGTGCCCACGGCTCCTGCTGTCACCGGTGTAAGGTAAGGCCTTTTTCCCCCAGCCCAGGCTTCTGACCTGACAGCAGACTGCTCCGCTGGGCTGGGTCCGGGGGGCGGGTGGGTGATGGTAATGGCTGGGGTTCAGCCTTCAGCCTTGGGGGAGGATGATATTCAGAAATATGGAGCTGGAAAGGCCCTGTGAACAAAGTTCACTATTGCCTATACTGGGCCTTAGGAGTCTCTGGGTGATGCAAATGGTTAACATGGTCAGCTCCTAACCAACAGATTGGAGGTTCAAGTCCACCAGAGGTGCCTTGGAAGAAAGGCCTGGCAATCTTCCAAAAACCAGCCATGGAAAACCCTATGGAGCACAGTTCTACTCGGACACACATGGGATCGCCAGGAGTCAGAGTTGACTTGACAGCAACTTGTTTAGTCTGTGGTTTATACTGGGCCTCACTGAGTTCAAATCATCCCAGAGAGAGTGTCCAGAGAGAGTAGTCTTAATTTTACTTGGAGCTAATAATAATAATAATCATAATTTTGATTAACATTAATGGACCCCTGATTAAATGCTAGGCACTGTGCTGAGCATTTTACATATATTATCTAATCACCTCAGAAGTCCCATGAAATATATATTGTTATCCTCAGTTTAAGATGAGAAAACTGGGATTGAGAGGGAGTAAGTGGCTTATCCAGGATCACAGAGCGAGAAAGGGACTGAACTCAGGTTTCTCTGACTCTAGAGCCCACACCTTTAATATTGATCTGGAAGATAAATAGTATATTACTACTAGGATTAAAAGGCTGGACAATGAATAAGGAAGACCGAAAAAGAATTAATGCCTTTGAATTATGGTGTTGGCAAAGAATACCGAATATACCATGGACTGCCAAAAGAACGAACAAATCTATCTTGGAAGAACTACAGCCAGAATACTCATTAGAAGCAAGGATGGCGAGACTTCATCTCACAGACTTCGGACACGTTATCAGGTGGGACCAGTCCCTGGAGAAGGACATCATGCTTGGTAGGGTAGAGAGTCAGAGAAAAAGAGGAAGACCCTCAACCAGATGGATTGACGCAGTGGCTGCAACAATGGGCTCAAGCATAACAACAATTGTGAGGATGGCACAGGACTGGGCAGTGTTTCATTCTGTTATACACAGGGTCACTATGCATTGGAACCAACTTGACAGCACCTAACAACAACAGCTAGCATTACTATAGGTCCGTAATCTTTTATCCACAATTCTGAAATTCAGGGAATTCTAAAAACCGAAAAAAAATTTTTTTAACTCATTTGGTGGCAAAACTTGACCTGAACTGATGTGAGACGAGTCACAGTCTTTCTTTAAATCACACTTAAAATGAGTTTTTATGTTTCAGTGCAGAAATACTAACGTGTTTGTGACTATAAAGTGCTATCCCAGGCCTTATGGGGAGGAGGGAGTTACATAATATACACGTAGTTGTGCTTACTTACCAATCTGTAATGAACAATTTCAAACGGATTCAAAGATGTGGTGAAACCCATGTGAAATTGTTCACTACAGATGATCTGGTAAGCAGGGTAAGCACCATGCTTACCTTGATTATTGGATAATCTGCCCCTGGGAAGGAGAGAAGTTGTCAAAAAATTTTACAGTGAAAGGATTGATTGAAGTTTTTTCTAAACTAAGTCAGGGGTTTCAGTTGCTTGAAAACATGCACCCAAATGCTGATTGCTTTGCTAAAGTTGATAGAGAGATGTATGAAGTAGTTAGATGTTACCGTGAAATATGTGAAGAAAAAAAGAAAAGGACCATACAGACAACTCTCAACTAATTTTCTGACTAGAAACACCATCCCCATTCCCAGGAATAACCCAGGTGATCCAGAGCCTTGCAAAAGTGAAGTTATTACCGTAACTGACAAAATGCCAGTGTCATCCAACTCTTCTTTATTGTCGGAGTAAATTTTTATGATGTATGTATTTTTTATGTATGTATGTACGGAAAGCTCATTAACAACCTGCGTTATGCAGATGACACAACCTTGCTTTCTGAAAGTGAAGAGGACTTGAAGCACTTACTGATGAAGATCAAAGACCACAGCCTTCAGTATGGATTACACCTCAACATAAAGAAAACAAAAATCCTCACAACTGGACCAATAAGCAACATCATGATAAACAGAGAAAAGATTGCAGTTGTCAAGGATTTCATTTTACTTGGATCCACAATCCAACACTCATGGAAGCAGCAGTCAAGAAATCAAATGACGTATTGCATTGGGCAAATCTTCTGCAAAGGCCCTCTTTAAAGTGTTAAAGAGCAAAGATGTCACCTTGAAGACTAAGGTGGGCCTAACCCAAGCCATTGTGTTTTTAATTGCCTCATATGCATGTGAAAGCTGGACAATAAATAAGGAAGACTGAAGAAGAATTGATGCCTTTGAATTACGATGTTGGCAAAGAATATTGAATATACCGTGGACTGCCAAAAGAATGAACAAATCTGTCTTAGAAGCAGTACAGCCAGAATGCTCCTTAGAAACAAAGATGGTGAGATTTCGTCTCACATACTTTGGACATGTTACCAGGAGGAACCAGTCCCTGAATGAGGACATCATGCTTGGTAAAGTAGAGGTTCAGCAAAACAGAGGAAGACCTTAAACGAGATGGATTGACACAGTGTCTGCAACGATGGACTCAAGCATAACAACGATCATGAGGATGGTACAGGACCAGACAGTGTTTCCTTCTGTTGTACATAGTGTTGCTATGAGTCAGAACTGACTTGATGGCACCTAACAACATGTATATATTAAAATACAAGTTTATATGTAATGTTTCCAACCCCAAATATAGATCAGATTTATAAAGATACTGAAAATAAAAGGCAAAAACAATTAAAACTAAAAAAAAAGAACCAATTTATGAAGGAGTTGTCTAACAGAACCCTGTTGTAAATCGGGGACTACCTGTACTTATGTAATGTTATGTAATATACCGTGTATGTGTATATACACACACGTACATATGTATGTATAATGTCTGCTTTCTAAAATCTGGAAAGTCTGAAACCCTTTTGGCCTCAAGGTCTTGGGGAAGGGGTTGTGGGCCTATGCTTCCACTTTCTACTTACTGAGTGCTCATTATGTGCCAAGTGCTGTTCAAGTGTGTTAGTCTAACTCATTTATTCTTCATAACAACCCCACAAGAGGATTACCCTCATGAGCAGATGAGGACACTGAGGCATAGAGAGGTTAAATAGCTGCCCAAGGCCCCACTGCTGGTTAAGGAGCCCAGCTGGGCTTTGGACCCAGGCAGGCTGGCTCTAGGCTGGGTCTTCTTCCACTTCTCACCGCTCCTGGGTGGCAGCAGTTCCTCCTACGGCTTCCTCCTCCACACACCACCCCCGCCCACCATGGACTGGGGCATAATCCTTTCAGCTGGCTATTAAGTGGCCAGCAAAGTGGTCTCTCTGCCATCTCTCCTGGGAAAACCTGTGAGTGGTGTGGTCACCAGGGGCAGAGGAGGGGCTTCATTCTCAGACAGAGTCTTCCTTGCCTGAGTTGGGAACTCTCTTGACTCAGGCTGGTCCTGGGGTTTTCCCAGGGAGATTGCGCTAGGTTGAGTCATTTGCATATCGGCCCAAAGCCTGAGAATAAGTGTGGAGATCACCTGTCTCACTCATTCCCAGGATCTCAACTTGAGTGTCAGAAAGTGTTTCCTAGAGAGAAGACTGTAGAAAAAGATCAGGTCTCGAGTCTGAGGCCTTCAGTTCAAACCTTGGCTGTGTGATTTTGGGCAACCTATTCACCATTCAGGGCCTAAGTTCTTTACCTATAAAATGAGACTTATTGATAAGGCTAAGGAGCCCTGTTGGTGCAATAGTTAAGCGCTTGGTTGCTTGCTTTCTTTCTTCAAAAGAAAGACCGGGCATTCTGGTCTTGTGAAAAATACAGGCTAGCAAACCCTCTATCACACAGGGTCACTATGAGTTGGAGTCGACTTAACAGTGCATAACAACAACGAAGTTAATAAGACTGCCCACCCAGGGAAGCTGTAAGACTCAGGTGTAAGCTCCAACTTTCCCATTTGCCCAAGGTGTGCTATTGATCGAGTTATTTCATCTGCGAAGTTGGGGGAATAGCTGTATCTATCTCATGGATATTGTGAGAATCACATGAGATCAGTGCTTGGCTCAATAATGGGGATGTATTATTGCTAAAGTGCTTTGTGAATTCAAAGAATATGAATGCTAATTTAATGTGTATGTGTGCACGTGTGGGTTTATTTGTAGATGTTCAGAGGCGAACGTGTATTTGTAGATGTATAGGTGTGAATGAATCTGTGTGTTTGCATATGTGCATTTATATATGCATCTGTGTGTGTGTGTGTGTGTGTGTGTATGTGTGTATGTACTAGTGAACCTGGTTCTGCCACTTACTAGCCATGAGGCTTTGCTTACAGTGCTGAACCTCTTTGAACCTCAGGTTTCATCATCTCTAAAATGGGGATAATTGTATTAATATGACTATCATGAAAACTAAATGAAGTGATATTTGTACTAGGCACTTGGTGGGTGGTCCATAAAATTAGCTATTATCACTAAAGCACTTAGGAAACTGAAAATTGTTGCATAAATATTATTTCTTACCTGCTGTTAAGGTTGCTGAGAAGAGGAAGTGAGTAGCATTTGTGACAACACCTTGAAAACTAGAAATTACTCAGAATATCAGAAAGTTGATGATGGTTGGAGCTAACAAGGTCATGTAAAAAGTGCTGTGAAATAATGTTAAGGAAAATGCTGTTCCGCACTTATACATTCTTTGATGGTTACGAGGGTGGGGAGGGAGGGAGAGGGTATTCACTAACTACATAGTAGACAAGTATTATCTTAGGTGAAGGGAGGGAGAGCACACACTACAGGGGAAGTCAGCACAACTGGACTAAATCAAAGCCAAGAAGTTTCCTGAATACAATCAAACACTTCGAGGGACAGAGTAGCAGGGG